CCAGGACTCCTGAGATGGAAGGACTTCTTGGCCTCAATATGAGATCTGGGAACTCTTTTGTTCTCTTCATTCTGCTTCCAATACTTCCCAAATAGACCCTCTGTTGTAGGATTCTGTTGTTGTAGCTTCTGTTGGATGCGAATCTCCAAGGGAAACTATATTTGAAATTGTATTTGAAAATCACAAATTTAGTTTGCATTTGTAAAGGCCATGAGAGTTTTTAATCTATTGACTTACAAGGAACATTAGCAGTTGCTTTGCTTGCTCAGACCTTCAAAAAGAGATTGATGCGGTATGTGTATGTGTATGAGCACACACATACATGTATAATGGGATATGTGCACGCATATGTAATGGAATACTACTCAGCCACGAAGATGAAACCATGACATTTGCTGCCACAAGAACGGAAGTGGTATTTGGAGAGAGAAATACCTCTTTGATACTGGCATGAAGATGATCAGTAAAAGGAGTAGGTCTAGATGTATTATCAGCAATAAACAAAATCTTGAAACACAATATTCTTCTGACTGCACTTGTCCATTTTGCTGGATAGCAGTCCGGAAGGGCAACCTGAAGAGGAACTGGGTCATTTGTGACTTCTCAGTGCCCTTGTAGTTCACTGGCAGTGTGTGCTTTCTGATGTTCCTGGAGGCCTTGGGTTCTCACTGTGCCAGTCCACAGAGAGTTTTAGAATAGTTTGTATCCTGCAACATAGTGCCAGATTTATCCTCTCCTTAAAGAACTTGAAACCTGGTATTGAATTGGTCCCCGGATGAATGAGAGTCCTTTCAGACATCTGCTTCCAGAATAGGGAGCTTCATCCACATTGAAGATTTGCTCTAGCTAGCAATTTTCCTATGCCGTTAGCATATCTAAGTTTCCAGAAACGCTTCAGCTACCTTTACATCAGTACCGTCAAGACTCACTCTCACTTCCACACTGTGTAATGAATACAAATTCTTCTTTTAAAGATTTATTTATTTATGCATAAAAGAGCTGGGGTGTAGGCCAGAGATGTGCAGAGTGAAAGGATTCACCAGAGACAGAGTGGGGAGCAGAAGAGGCAGATCAATGAAGTACACTGCTGAGGGGAGCAGCGGGCGGGTCAGGAGAGGTCTGAATTCAAAACTACCCAGAGCTTGGCTTAACTTCAGAACCCATTTTTTTCAGCTTCATAGAAATTTTGCTTTCATTGTGATCATTCAGTACTGAGAGGGACACGCACCAGGCTGGTGTGGAGTTGGCAACACCAGTAACCAGTCGAGTGGTCAATGGCAGTTTGTCCTGTACCTGAGACCCTTCTCAAATTTCCGTTGGTCTTGTTACTTTCCATGAGGTGGATGCTTGATCTCTCCATCACTCTGTCCTGTTCTTCAAGATCATGGGGAAACATCCCTGGGCCAACCCACAAGCAATAACCAGGATGGAGCGTCCATCTTAAATAACTTTTGTTCCATAATGCTCATCTGGCCTCTTACTGACAACACTAGGAGAATTTTGTAAGCTCTGGGTTTGTGGTGAACAAAACACGAGATCAAAGGAAGCACAGGGAAATGATGCCTCCAGAGGACGTGGTCACCAGGACGTATCTGAGGCTGTGTCAGGAGGGAAACATCATGAGGTGCCTCGGCTTTGGCATCATCAGGCCACCAGTATTTGGAATCACTTTGTGTGTGTGGTTCGCCATTGAAAGAAATACAGGGATTGGCTGGATATAAGAACAAACAAACAACACTTAGACCTCAAAAGGTCAGACTCTCCAGTTCAAAAACAAGCAAAGGCGGGCAACAAAAGTCAAAACAGATGTCTTGGAGATGTCAAAATTAAAAGGTTCTGTGCATCATGGACACAACCAGCAGAATGAAGAGCCAGCCATGGACTGGGAGGAGATATCTGGAAATTATATATATGATGTGGGGTTAATAGTCAGTGTGTAAATAACATTTGTAGCAACAGCAAGAAAGTAAACCATATTAAAACATGGGCAAGTCTCCTGAATGGAAAGTTCCCCAAAGGAGATTGATAATGGGCAATGTATGTGAAGAAAAGCTTGGCATCATGTGTATGAGGGAAATACAAACCAAAACCACAAGCCACGCAGAACACCTCCTGTTCCCCACTCTGCCTCTGGCGAATCTTCTCATGCCCCACACCTTTGGCTTACACCCCCGTTCTTGTATGCATACATAAATAAATAAAAATACATCTCTGAAAAACAGACGATGCTAGGTAGAAACACATACTCTGTGACTCCATTTATGTGAATTCTCCAGAACTGGCAAGTGTGGAGAGGTAGAAGGTAGATTGGTTGACAGGGGTTTGGCAGGAAGAGGGAATGGGCGTGAGGTTTCTTTTTAGGAGCTGAAAGCATTCTAGAATTTGATAGAGGTAGTGTTTGCATATCCCTGTGAATGTACTAAATCCCAATGAACTGTGAACTTGGAAATTTTAATTTCAGTAGGGATGGAGCTTTGATGTAGCAGGAATCATTAAAAGAGCTCTCCAAGGAAAAATCAGTAAACGTTAAAGCAGTATGATGATCAGATTTTAGATGCTTTATTCATTTTTCTCCAATGAGAGACAAGGCAGCTTTGAATGCATTAATGAAGGGAAAACCATAACACAACAGAACACTGCATTGGAAAATAAACTGAAAAGAAAAAACAAAGAAAAGATTTGATTTTGCCCAACATAGTGTTCAATAGTGTCATGAATTATAGCACACATCATTCTTCCATTTTGCAGTTCTTTCCCCACTACTCAATAGCTCTAGGAAGCATATACCACTCAAAATTCAGTGAAAGCAGGAGTAAAGAGGCACCTAGGTATGTATCTGTGTGGCTGAGTGTTCCCCAAATCCTTGTACTGGAAGCCCCGAAACTATGGCATCTGTATGTTGGTGTCACTATTCTTTATGCGCTTTGCTACTCTCTGAATCTGCTGTTGGATTTCTCCTAACAATCCTGAAGTTGTAAAAAACAAAACAAAACCAAAACCCCACCAGCGAACATGATCTTAATGCCTGAAAGCCTCCAGTCAAGAATTTGTGTGTGTGTGTATAAAATAGTTCTTGTCAAAATCTTGAGAAAGTCTAGTAAAACACGTGGAAACAGTCCAGAAAATGAAAATGTCTGTGCTTGCTGTTCTAGAAGTGTCCCGGGAAAAGCCCGCCTAGGCTCCTGCTCGGATGTAGGACCTGGGACCCAGCATTTGCTCCCCAGAGAGAGTCTCAGCTGTCCCCAAACCCCCACTGCCTCCAATGTGGTGTCTAGGAAACTAAGCACCGCTGCTCCACAAGAACAAGAAAAGGGGTTTGGGTGCCGACTGCTGGTCAAAGTGAGGAGCACAGGGTGCTTAGAGCTCAATCTAGTGGTTTTTGGGCGCCCCTTCCAGGTCATCACATGAATCAAATTTCAGAGGACATGTTGCTCAGTATCACATCTTGATACGATTTGGTGGAAATAACAAGAAGCAAAGAACAAGATAATATACAAAAGTCTACTGCTTTCTTATATATACTAGCAATGAACCATTGGAGCTTGAGAGAAAAACACCACTTAGATGTGTAAGGAGGAAAGGACGGGAAGAGGGAGAAAAGAAAGAAAGGAAACCCTCAGGTTTCAATCTAACAAAGTATGTGCAAATTTGTATGCTGAAAACTATGGAACCCTGTCAGGAGACAAAATAACTTAAGATATTTTTTCCAATGTAATGGCTATGGTAAGGAAAATATTATTAAACAAATAAATATAATAAAGACCCCACCAGGTGGATATTTTCAAGCCTGGTAAAAAACATTACATTGCAGGCATAATTAACAAGTCTACTTGCCAGCAAGGATTGCTCGGTTTTAGCACTCTGAGCAAAGTTACATTTCAGAGAGTCAGAGGGGTCTGTCTCTTTGGAGTGATCTCCCGCAGGGTTGAATTCCCCTTCCACCCAGTTAGGGGCTCCCCTTCCTATGAAAAACAACTTTGCTCTCCACCGATGGTTTTGTCTGTTGAAAAACAACATCAATCTCTGTAACCAATGTTGGCACAAATATGTAAAAAAATAACCCTCTGTCTTAGACTTGATATCGGACAGAGGTGTGTCTGCCTGGATGGAAATGCCATAAAACTGTGCCTGACCTCATCATTCCTAAGTACCACTTGTCTTTTCTATGCCCAGGGTAAAACCCAGATTTCTGCTACACATAGATTTAGCCTAACCTCAACAAAAATCTCAACAAATGTCTTTGCAGATCAAGACAAACTTTTTAAACCTTGAATAGTCTAGAAGGCACTGAAATACTGATGGAAGAAGTCATATTCCCAGTTCTAAGATTTATTACAAAATGACAATAATCAGGAGAATGTGGTATTGGAAGGAGAAGAGCTTAGGTAAATCAGAAAACAGACACTTGTGAAGCCATCAGTAGATCTTGGTCAAAGGTTTGAATTCTTGTTCTTATCTCTCTTTTCTTCTTCCATGCTTCTGATCATGTCACTATTGGTCTCTCCCCAGTAGAGATTTCTTGGCTTAAAATGTGGTCAGTGTGAAGTGTTTAGTCACTTACCAGTGAGAGTACCTGATCAAGAGTAAGCACAGGTGGGAACCAGATATCTTGTGAAAAGCAAATATCAGAGCTCATTTGCTCATCTATTCCAGGAGGCCAATGTTCATTCTCCATTTCTACCCCAGGACCTTTGCTAATCCTTTATTCATGTAAAATCTGAAAGTCCCTCAACAGCAGATTCAATATGTAGCTATGTTACAGACTAACTTTATTTGCATGAACTTATGTAATTAGATGATGTCTGCCATGATATGTCAACGAATACCCTAATTAAAAACTACATCATTTAAACAAATAAAATGTCTTGATAAATAGCAAAAAAACATGTACCATTATACTCATTGTTTTACTATGCTATAATTTCTTGTTGAGCTATGTTTTCAACGTATTTTCTCATATACTTGGAACTTGTCTCCCCACTAAGAATTAACAAAGTGCATCAACAAAAGAGGTCAACTTCTCTTCTTTGGAAAATCTGTCTTAGAGCTGCCTTAATAGCTTTATTTCTCAGGCTGTAGATCATTGGATTGAGTATTGGGGGCACAACTGTGTACATAATAGTGAGCAAAATGTCCAGTGCACTGGGAGAGTCAGAAGGTGGCTTGAGAAACTCAAAGACACCAGTTGAGATGAATAAAATGACCACAGCAAGGTGGGGAAGGCAAGTGGAAAAGGCCTTAGCCCTGCCCTCAGCAGATGGCATCCTCAGCACAGCAGAGAATATCTTTGTGTAAGACAGTCCAATTAAGGTAACACAAAGAAAGACCATAATAGCTACAAAGCAAGTGACCCCAACCTCTCTGATGTACTCATTCGAACATGAGAGTTTCAGGAGCTGGGGGATGTCACAGAAGAACTGGTGAATGACATGGGAGTCACAGAAGTGCATGGAGAAAGTGGCCGCTGTGTGCATGGCCCCAGAAATGAGCCCACTGATCCAGACGCCCAGGACTCCGTGGACACAGTTGCTGACATCCATGATGACTTCATAGCGGAGTGGAAGGCAGATGGCCACGTAGCGGTCATAGGACATCACTGTCAGCATGGACAACTCAGCAGTGCTACAAAGAATTAAAGAAAAACACTGCACTATGCACTCCCCCAGGGAGATGTAGCCACTGTGCATGAAAGAGGTGTAAATGGACCTTGGCACCGTCACGGAAATGTAGCACAGGTCCAGGAAGGAGAGATGTTTCAGGAAGAAATACATGGGTGAGTGCAGACTGCTGTCCCTGGAAATCGCGGTGATAATGAGGATGTTGCCAGTCACTGCCACCAGGTATAAGACTAAGAAAAGAAAAGCATGGAAGAGTTCCATCTCAGGCGTGGCAGAAAATCCCATGAGAAGAAACCCGCTCATAGTGGAATTAGCCATAGTCCTTAATTTCCCCAGTGAAGTTGGCTGCAAGACAAGGTGGAGTCATTGGCAAGAAAATTTTTGTTACTTAACTATCTAACCCACTTTAGGTTGAATGAAATCAGGCAAGAAGCCAATTGAAGAAGTCGTCATCATTAATGTGAAAACTGTTCTAATAATTATGTATACTAATAATGTCAACCAATTTTAAATCACACTCAGTCATGGAAACATGAGCAAGGAGATTATGAATTTCAGCATCATCCATTCCAATGAAAGGAAAGGAAAAAGATATGTACTTAATAGAATTAATAAAACACATAATCATGCAAATGGGAACATGGAACATTGAATTTGAGTTTCTGTTGCAAAGTTTTATACAGCTCAGATACTCACATGTATTTGTAAATGTTCTTTAATTGCCTATTAATTTCCATTCATCATCCTATCGGTTCACAAACTCCTCCAACTACAATGTTTCTGTTATTTTAATTTAATTATGTTGTTGTTTATAAGAGAGGCAACATTCCTCATGGTTTTCATCTAAGTAAATCTTTATTTTCTCAATAAATAAAATTATGAATTGCCAATTTGATAATACTTATACAATAATGATTGATATTAACAACCATTATCATTAACATAAAACATCATAAAAACCAGTGATAAATACTAATTTTCCAAAGGAAATGAAAAAGAAGACTTTTCCCTGGGTATATTTTTGTAAGAAAATAATCATTTATTCCAATTACTAGTTAAATAAAATATAAAACAACTATGAAATATTGATTTGTATCTAATACATTAGTTAAGAATAAAGGACAAATAGTCAGTTCTATTATTAAAAAAAAGACATCTAGTGGTAACCTGTATCTGCATATCTCTAAATCGCATATAGTGTCGTAAACAAATGTTACTTCAGTAAAATAATAAAATAAAAAATAATAAATGTAATTCCTATTTCATGAAATACAGAAATAAACTTAAAATATGCAAATAGTATATTCATAATTTTGTGCATGCATTCTAGTAAACAGCAAATTATTTAGAAGTAACTTTTAAGTAGTCTAACTTAAACCTTGAATACTAGATAACATTTCAGTTATCTGATGGTGTTAAGAAAACAATGCTCATTTCGGGGCTCTTGAAAGCCATCACTATGAAGTACTCTTTATGAATAGAAGCTGATCACTACATTTTGATAAAGAAGTAGGAAATTTTAAACACTTTATGTTCTCAACATATGTAAATACATGGGAATGGAATAAGCATTGAATAAAGTATAGGGAAATAAAATATGTAACTATAGTAATTATTACCTACTTCTTTTGACCCTTACCATGTGAAGACAGAAATTCGTGGTTATTTTGCTTTCATTAAAATAATTTGATCCATTCTCAAATTTTTTATTTTTTTTTCCATGCTTACAGTTTTTCATCTGTTATTGCTGATGTAGAAAGTATCTCACATCTCACATCAATGTTACATGAGTCAATGAGTAATATGAACTCAAAGAATATTAAGCAGCATTATCCTATCACACATTCACACTGAGTTCCTTCTGTATGATCATGTAAAGTGAAGGCCTTGCTAGGAAACTGGAAATTGCAATACGAAATTTTTTCTTTTCTTTTTTTTTTTAGAAGGATTTATTTATTTATTCGTACAGAACTGGGGTACAGGCCAGAGATGCAGAGGGTGAGAGGATTAACCAGGGACAGAGTGGGGAGCAGAACAGGCAGATTTACTAAGTCCACTGCTGAGGGGAGCAGCAGGCGGGTCAGGAGAGGTCTGCGGCGCCCTGTGGTCACCTCCGGGGCAGGCGGGATCGAAGTCATGGAGAAGTGGCTTAAGCTTCTTAGTGTTGTGCTTTAACCCACTGCGCCACCAGGGAGGGCCCGAATTTTTTTCTTTAATGGAATGAATTTACAAAGTTCTTCCAAAGATTCCTAATTTCCATGAAACTACTCAGAGCTCATACATATTTCATGTCCTTCAAGATAAAGGACAATGCCTGGCTTATCTCACTCACTCAAAACCAGTAACAAATGAGCTTTTCATTTCCTGTGTAAACTACCCCTTTTGAGCCTAAGGGCACTCACCCGAGCATATGCAAGAAGTTCCTCCCTCAACTGAACCAGAACCAGAGCAGCTGACACTGAGTTCAAAGTACTGATCTCTGAAATGTTGTCATGGAGGAAAAATTAACTCCACTTCAATCCTCCTTTGGTCCCTGGAGATTAGACTATGAAATCTCCTTGGCATAGAGTGTTCTGGGTATTTGGTGTTCCTTGTAAATACCATGGGAGCAAAACTTGAAATTATCTTGATTGGTCCTGTGGAATCTGTGTCCTCTGAGTTCATTTAATGATCACTCAGGTTCACCTGGAATTTTGGCTTATTGGTGCTAATTGGAACAAATTATCAAAATTGTTTTAATTTGTATGTTAGATTCAGAAATACACAATAAAAGACTTAATTTTGTTGTATTCACTGAATTAACGTGCCATTAATTTATATGTAGTTAATATTATTTTGCCCAACAACATTATCTGAAAAAGTTAACTACCAAGCAAAAAACCCCTAATATTATACCTCTAAGTGGCAATTTAATTTCACTTTCAATGAGAATGTAATTTTTTTTTTTTTCAAGAAAACTGTGTGTGCCCTCTGGTTCGTCTAGCACAAACATAATAGTTATTAAAAATAAAGTTATTGTTTCAAGATGATGTCCAAATTAGAAGAGTTGACATTGTGCGTTCCATTATCACAAAACAAATCTTATCCCAGGCTATCACTTCACAAAAACGAGCTTTTCCAGTACTTAAATTGCCAAGAAATCGAATCCTCATGGCTTCCAAGTAAATTATCAGTTTAGAGAGACTGACAATTATATATCAATGCATCCACATTTATGATCTAAGAGTTGCATACAAGGTTTGAAGCAATTCATTCAGTCTATCTAGCTTCTTAATTTGGAGGATAAATCTCTATTGGTTAATGAGAAAAAAAATCTAGACATTTCTGAAGACATAGAACAGCAAAGAAAAACATAGAAGTGCACAGAACACCAAATTTACTTCTTCAGAAGTCAGACATCTTTCTGATTGTGTGCATGCATTTTGCTATCTCTCTCTGCCTTTAGATTTTTGAACATTTGCTTTAAATTAAAAACACTTAAATGGTGGGTGTATATAAACTTACATTTGTCACAGCCTTTTCATTAATCAACCTCTTTATCATTGTGTAAGAATATTTTGTGTGTCTTCTTAAAGGGTTGACTTACTGTCTCTTTTGTCTGCTGCAAGTGTGTCTCTTTTTTTTCCATTTACATGCATATCATTTTCCTTCCTTTTCCTCTAGAGAATGAAGGTCCCTAAATTTAAAGTGTGCATCACACGGGTCTTGGTTTTTATTCCAAATTTATTGACATATAGCTTTGTATACATTTAACAGTAATATGATTTGACACAAAATTTGTAATGTTATAATCATGATAGCACCAGCTAACTCATCCACCATGTCCCATAATTTCTATTTCTTTTATGTCATAAAAACATCTTCTTTACTGTTAGCAGCTTTCAAGTATATATAAAAAAAATTGTAAGTAAACCGTCATCACTGTCTAGTCTTCATTAGATTCCAAAAACTAATAATCTTATAATTGGATATCTATTGCCTTTGATTTGGGTGTTTATTTCAACATAGTATCAACATAGAGTTTTCTTTTTATGGAAAACTTATTTGCAATCAAGTTAGTAATAAGTGGGGACTTCTGTTGCCATTTGAGAACTGGTTTCTGACATATTTCTTGGTTTCTTTCTGTCTTCCTGTCTGACTCCTTCCTCTGTGGTTTATGCTTTATTATAAGGTTGTGCTTAATATACTTCACTTTACTTTTTGTGTATCTATGATAGATTTTTGCTTTTTGGTGTTGTGCTGTGCTTGAACCTGCTGCGCCACCGGGGAGGGCCTGATCCCTTCCATTATATACAAAATCTCTGTCTTTTTATATACCTTCCCACATTTCATGGTGTTGATGTCACCTTTTATGTGCTTTTACCAATGTATCCATCAATATGCTATTTCTAATCATATGTAATACTTCTGTCATTTAAACTGTTACTGTGAATTGATTCACACACTGCCATTATGGTGCTATCTTATTTTTAATTTGAGTATATATTTAAATTGCCTACATGTTTTATACTTTTATATTTTGTTCATATTAAGAATCCTTTCATTTCAACATGAGGAATTGTTTTTTCCCCTTTGATGCACAGAGGCTTTTATTGCTGATAAAATCTGATTTATTTGTTGCTCTTATGTACTCCTGCTTTTTGTGACCTATTTGATAATATTTTAACAATTCATATTCACACAGATTTACTCCTATGTATTCCCCAATTTCATAATTTTATCTCTTACAATTCCCTTGAGATGATCTTTATATTATATGTGAGATAAGCACATTATTTTATTATTTCGCATTTGGTTATTCAGTTGTCATACCGTTTACCAATCTACATAACTCATCTCCCATAAACAATGTATAGAAGGGTTTCAAATAATTAATTTCAATAAGCTGTCTATTTTGATTACCTTTTCTAATACGTTCATATAACGTGATTATGTTTCTCTGTTTACTTTTAGTTCTCAGTATCGCTCAGATTATTTCTATCTTCTGATAAACCCCTTATGTCCCTCTCTTACTGACCACTAGTCAATAGTCAAGAGCTATATACATGGACAGAAGAAAGGATAAAGATGTGGTATAGACAAGGGATGGAATGCTAGGCAGTAGTAATTCAAATCTTCCGATTTACAACATGATGGGTCTAGAGGACACTTTAGCTAGTGATGTAAATCAGTAGGAAAAAAAAAAAAAACAACAAGACTGTGATTTCACTCACAATGCAGTATATAACAAAACCAAACATATATGTGAATTAAATTAAACAAAAAAACACTTTTAGGCTATATGACCAATTATTGGCTGCCAGAAGGAAGATTAGGGA